GCCCTACACCGGGCTTGTGATGCAGAGGGGGCGCGTTTGGCCAGGGCTTTCTCCGAGGGATCTCGAAGGTTCGGGCCCACCAGAAAGACGATTTGGCCCTTCCGTTGGCCAAGAGATTGCACATCTTCGGTGATGGCGCTGCGGATGCAGCAGCCAAGGAAGACGCCTTGATGCATCCGAGAATGTCCGCCCAGGAGTCCGCTGGGATCGGTGTTCTGTACTCTGTAGTTCGTGCTGCCACTCGTCTGGTGGCTCAGATTATGGAGACATGACATCGGACCAATCTTGAAAAGGTTGCCCGTGTCGAGCCCCCGCCCCCCCTGGTGAGGGATCCGAAGCCACCGCATGCATGGGGTTGGGTCGGAAGATTCTGGCAATGCCCTCTTTGCCTGCGGGTATCCCGATCCGTGGCTAAGCCAGCTCCAAGAATTTGCAACCGCATTTTGCGTGTTGACCCCGCTATGCTGCGGGAGCTCGAGCATCGTTGCCTCGTGGTGCATGTCATTGACGACAGTTTCGCTTGCGTCTGGCAGGTCTGTGCTGCGTGAAAGACTGGAGGTCGATTGGGGAGGCTGGCTGCGAAGTGTCTCGGCGGGCCTCCAGCTCGAAGTCAAGTTTGGCCGGGGGTGGGCAACGGACGCCACCCTGATCACAAAGAGGGTCGGGGCCACTGCCGACCTCGACGCTGTTTGCCCCCTGTGAGAGGGTCTGTGGCTGCGGATGTCAAAAACCCTCTTCCTCCTCCCTCTCCTCCTCCCTCTCCTCCTCCCTCCTCCTCCTCCTTCTCCTCCTCCTCCTCCTCCTCCTTCTCCTCTTCCACCTCCTCCTCCTCCTCCTCCTCCTCCTCCTCCTCCTCCTCCTCCTCCTCCTCCCCCTCTGCCTCCTCCTCCTCCTCCTTCTCCTCCTCCTCCTCCTCCTCCTCCTCCTCCTCCTTCATCATCATCATCATCATCTCATCATCATCATCATCGTCGTCGTCATCATCATCATCATCATCATCATCATCATCATCATCATCATCATCATCATCATCATCATCATCATCATCATCATCATCATCATCATCATCATCATCATCATTCATCATCATCATCATCATCATCATCATCATCATCATCATCATCATCATCGCCTCCTCCTCCTCTCCTCCGCCTCCCCTCCTCCTCCGCCTCCTCCTCCTCCTCCTCCGCCTCCTCCTCCTCCTCCTCCTCCTCCTCCTCCTCCTCCTCCTCCCCCGCTGCCCAGTCACGTCCTGAAGTGGAGTGTCTCGGCGGTGGACAAACCTCCCTTTAGTAGACCTCCCCTTAGTGAAAACAGCCTGGGACCGAAACCGACGGACCTGGGCCCGCAAAAACGACGGCCGCGACGCCCTCTCGCGAACCGAGAACGGCCAATTCCTTAATCGACGTGTCAGGGTAGGAGGTCTGTCCACCCCCGAGTGTCGGCCCCCACGGACCCGCAGAAGAGGCGTATGAAGAAAAAGCGGCTTACGAAGCTGCTTTGAATGATGTGGACTGGCTGGGCGGCTATGTCGAGCAGGAGCTGCTGTAAGCCAAGCGCCAGCAACGAAAAAAATACGACGGCACGGGATGCAAGCATTGTCCAGATCACTAAGGCAGCGTGCGGCCTGGAGCCCCCACTCCTCCGCGACGCCGTGCCCGTTTCCGGGGTGGACATGTTCTGTTTCACACACACACACACAAGCAAAAAGTGCAGGGCCGCCTCGCTGACGGTCTGAGAGGGGGCGGCAGCGCCCCTCGCGGAGCCCTCGCTCTCGCTCTCGCCAGCGTCACTCGCCCGGCCCGAGCCCTTCCTCCGCGTCCGGGAGCTCAAATTCCGACCGGGGAGACGTACAGTCATCGGCCTGACCTAAGGAACGATAAAGAAGGAACGAAGCCCCTTTTGTATCCCAAGGAATGCCGCATAAGGAACGCTACACAACACATGACGCACAAGGAACTGTAAAACAACGCATGCGAGCCTAAGGAGCGACCGAGCCCCTTTTGAAGAGTAAGTGCTCCTTACTCGAGCCGCTCACTGTAAGACTCGGGTCAGGAGGGACTCGGGCTGGCCTGGCGGGTCGAGCGAATGGCGAGGCCCAGCCTGGAGCGTGCCGCTCCCGCCGCAGACATCCCACGCACACTCGACCGTCGAAGCTCGGGGCGCGCGGCCCGCCCACCAAAAACCGTCGGCGAACCCGCGAGTTCTGGCGAACCCAACTCTTACCCTGACCTTCCAGGAGGGCTAAAAAATAGCACCCGACGTAAACACCCATCCCAAAGCTATTCTGCATCTTGGCTTTGGGCTGTTTCGCCCAGCTTCCTAGGTTTTTGGGTCTCCAGTGCTACAAAAATAGCTCTCTGGAAGGTCAGGGTACGTCCACCCCCCCGATCCTCATCAGACTTCCGCTGCGCTGTTTTCCCTTTCCTCTGCAGGCTCGCGACTCCGGGCGCTGTGCGCGCGGCCGCGGGCGCCCTGACCAGCAGAGCGCCTGGCCCGGCACCTTCGGCAACCGAGCGCGATCCGCCGCGCCGCCCGGCGTGCGACAGCCGCTGGGCCGCCCCCGGGCCTCCACTTGCGCCAAGGTGCCGCCGCAAAGGGGCCGCCGCCCCTGACCTTCCAGGAGGGCTAAAACATAGCACCCGACCTAAGAACCTATCCCAGAGCTATCCTACGTCTTGGTTTTGGGCTGCTTCGCTCCGTTGTTTTATGCTTTTAGGCCTCCAGTGCTAGAAAATAGCTCTCTGGAAGGTCAGGGGCACGGGGCCGCTGCCGCCGGGAGGGCTCCGGGGCAGGCCCGCCCCCCGCGCCCAGCCGCCCAGCCGGCCCCGCGGGCGGCCCGCACGGCGGCAGCCAGCCGCGCGCGGCGCGCGGCGCGCCTCCGCCGGCCGGCCGGCCGCCACAGGCGCGCTGCTGCTGGGAGGGGGCTCGAAGCACGGCGGGCGTCGCCGGGATACGTCCATGTGCACTGCCGCGGGGTCGCGCCCTCCGGGGGTCTCGGGGCGCAGTGGGCGCGGACGCCTGCCAGCCCACGCGGGCGGGCAGAGATCCATGTCCTCCGCAGAGATCTCTGAGGGCCCCTGCCACGACCGCGCGGCAGTGGAGCTGGACAGATTCTGGCGGTGGACGGTTGGCGTCGCAAAGATGGAGTGCAACACCGATCTCCGAACCACCTCCCGCCATGTAAGAGTCGAGCGTCGATTTGCATTTTGAGCGAGGGGTCCTTCTGTGCACGCTCTCCCCCTACCAGCGCTTCCTCCGTGCCCTTCATCCCCAGGGTGGGGAATAGCGTGCAATCAGCGGGCCGTGTAGGCGGCCACGTAGCTCGGCGTGTAGACGCCCAGGCTTCCCGAGCTGGGTGGCGCTGGCGAGCAGATTGCAGTCAGGAGCCTTTGGATAGCGTGTCGCGGCGGCGGCCCGGGCGACACGCTATGCCTGGCAAGCGGGTAGCGTGTCGCTCCGCTCCGCGAGGAGGTTGACGCTCGGGGACCTGGAAGTGGATAGCGTGTCGCACCGAGGCCAGGCGGGCCGGAGCCGGCGGAGCGACTCGGTATC